AGGTGGTGGGTTCAAATCCAGCCTGGGCCCGCCAAACAACAATGATGTCTGCAACCAAAAAAAAAATAGCCAGACGTTGTGGTGGGCACCTGTGGTCCCAGCGACTTGGGAGGTGGAGGCAGGAGACTCGCTTGAGCCCAAGAGTTGGAGGCTGCTATGAGCTGTGATGCCACAGTACTCTACCCAGGGGGACAGCTTAAGGCTCTGTCTCAAAAAAAAAAAGGGCCTTAAACCTATTTGCCAAAGTCTTTTCACCTTAGTAAAAGCTATAAATTTAAAAGTAAAGAAATGTATCTCTCTAAAACTGTTCCATAATCCTAAGCAGCTATTATTTCTGGTTAATCTGAAGTAGTGAGTTTTCACTGTTGAGATAGAAGTCAGTTAGAGATGATGGAACTACTGGTTTATGCTTTGTTTTCCTAAATGGTGCATGCAAATTGTGCTTTAAGTAAGCCTAAGCCTGGAGGAATGGAGGTTGCTGTGAACTGCAGATAATTATGTTATTCACTTGCCCTAAAAAAAAATCAAAACAAGAAGTCTTTAAATAGTTTCGGTATCACAGATAATATGCTCTAAGATTATCCAGCACAATGCTCTCTCTGTCCAAAGAGGCAAAACATCACCAAGCTGGAGAAGTGACAAGCACATTATCTGAGTCATTTTATACAACATCCAAATTCCGGAACCAGTTCTAATTCTCCTTTCCTCATTGAAGATAAATCAAAACCCTTCTAAGTCATTAAAATATATATATTTATTTTTGCTTAGCCTTAGTTCTTACATGATTTTTCAGTTCTTTTTTTTTGCCCCAAGGAGAAAAATCTTTTGGAAACACATATAAGAAGCTAATCTCTTGCTTCTCTCCCCTGCTGAGCTCCATGCATTTGGCCTCTGGGCAGTGAGTTTGCAAGCTCATATTTGTCTGTCTTAACAGCAAAGAGGAAGGGAGTCTCATCCCTTAGCTCTGATGCAAAGAATCCCAGAAAGGAACATCAGCTGCCCCTGCCCCAGAGCCTGGGAGGGAGGTGCACTGGGATGGGCCCCACCTCCAAACTACAGATTTTACCAAATAATACCTTGTATCCATCTGCTGCCTTCTGTTGTGGGGGGTTTGGCCCTCAGACGGGAAAACTCATTGGGATCAAGTACAGCTGTGCTTTACATGGATGACTTATCTCTGCTCCTCTCACACTTCCACTAGGTAGTTGGGAGAAGTCAATCACAGAAGAAATATCACATCATTTTATACTTTTCTCCTTATTCCTACCAAACCCATGTGCATAAGAACTAACTATGGCTCTTTTCATAATGCTTCAATTTAAAAGAAACAAGAAACAAAAAGGAACAAAAAACAGGTCTAATAACCCAATTCCAAAGAGCCAGATGGGTAGAGAGATGTTTTTTATCTGTCCCTGACAAAGAAGAGGCACCAATCAAGAGTGTGGTTTCTATTTATCTTTCTTTCTTTCCCTTCCTCCCTCCCTCTCTGTTGCTTCCTTTATTCCTTGGTTCCTCACTTCCTTTCCCCCTCCTTCCCTCACTCCCTTTCTTCTCTTTCGGAGACAGGGTCTTGCTCTGTTGTACAGGGGAGTGCAGTGGCACAATCATAGCTCACTGTGGTCTTGAACTCTTGGACTCAAGTGATCCTCCTGCCTCTGCCTCTCAAGCTGGTGACTTTACTAGCTCCAGCTGAAGTGATAAGCCAACTCTGAGCAAAATTACTGAACTCAAGTTCTATATCTCTTACTTGGCAATTAGAACTTGCTACCATTTATTGTTAACAATCTTCTAATGACCTGCCTCCCCAATTCAAATGAAAGCCACTTGTAGGCAAGAGCCATCCCAAATCTCTTCATATTCCCTGCTCTTGTACAAACTTGACTTCTCATTTCATACTTAAATCATCTGGCTCTACTCCCCTTTGCCATCATTACCACCAAATTTCTACCACCTCAGAATTTTCTTTTCCACTTCATGTGTGGACCCCATTTCTGGATCAAGGTCAATACCAACCTTGCATCTCCTTCACCTGCCTTAACTCAAACTACATCTTATTCCACATCACACAGTTGCCCCAGTCATCCAGAGCAGCTCCTCCTCTGAAATTCTTCCCTGGAATCACAGTGCCTACTGATTGAAAGCTGGTTCAAATCCTGCTTCTGCCATTTGCTAGACATGTGGCCTGGATGATCCATTTGTTCTCTCAGTGCCTCAGCTTCCTCCTCTGCAAAATGGGGAGAACGGACTAACCTCAGAGATATATGAGGGTTGCATGAATAATACAGTAAAAGCACAGAGTGTTCAACAACTGCTTGCCATTATTACCTGCCCCATTTTTTCCACTGGTAACTAAAGCTCCCCTTTGATTTTTTTTGTACCTCTTCCTTGAGGGCTATTTTCCCAGGTTTCTTGTCCTCTCCAGCCTTCCTTTCCCTCCCTACTCTAGATACCATGAGCTTCCTTCCACCAGAACCTTAAATTCACTCTGAACTTGCCTGGCCTGCTTATAATCAACTTGAGGTTAATCTAATTATCCTAAGTTCTACTGGGGGAAATGAAATAAATGCAGGGACTGTTTCCAGTGTACATTGCTTATTTCCAGCCTCTGTGGGCCCTCCTGCAGCTTTGCAACTGTTTATCATGCCCAAGCCCCAAGGCATCACACCCAGTTTCTACTCTTTACACCCCTTTCTCTACTTCCAGGCATCTTTCAGATTATGTGGTTTCCAAAAGGGCCTCCATGGACACTAAAATATTGGGCTATTTACAGTGTTGTCTCATTTGCTTTTTAGAATTTAGTAACAATCTACCTATGCTATTACTGCAATTGGATTTACCTCATTCTTCTGTAAGAGAATCTAGTATTACACGGTGGTAAAGGTCTAGTATTCCTTATTCCAAATGCTTACAACCAGAAGTGTTTGGGATTTGAGATTTGTGTGTGTGTGTGTGATTTTTGGATTACCAGTTGAGTAACACTAATTAAAAAAATCTGAAATCCAAAATGCTCCAATGAGCATTTCCTTTGAGCTTCATGGTGCTGCTCAAAAAGTTTTTGATTTTGGATTAGGGATGCTCAATCTGTACTATATTTTAACCATTATACCAATGGGATGGTTATTCAAAAGATTCTTACTCCTAATGGTTTTGTAATTGTTAAATACGATGGCCTCGGTTCCATCTTTATCCTTCTTGTTATTTCTGTAGCACCTGTGATGACCTCTTGACACATGTCCCCCCAGACTCTATTCCCTAGGTACTCACCAAGACGTTTGCCCTCACCAACTTCACTGTTCTTTCTTGGTCCCTTTATTTGGCTTCTCTCCACAGTCCTGTCTCTTACATTTGGGGCTTTCCAAGCTTCTGTGCTTAACAGTTGTTTCTAATTTTGTTTCCATTTTCACTGGGCGTCTTCGTCCACTCCCAAACATTAAATATTATTCTTTTTGCTGAAGATTTCCAAATCTATCTAATCATCCTCTCAAATCCCAAATAAGAATTTCAAATTGCCTGCAGTGCACCCTGATCTGTGGGCCCTACAGCCACTACCAATTTATTCTGTCCAGAAAAAGCTTAATGATTTCCCACTCTCATTCATCCCATCCCTAGGACAGTCCCAAGGCAACTGGGAGTGATTTCCGCAAAAGCACGTATCAGATGATTCTTCTGTACTTGCTATTCAGCCCTCTGCCTTGGAGACCTCACATGGTGACCTCCTATTTGCCGTTCAGATGAGTCCTGACCACCTGAGCAAAATCATCCATCTCCAACTTTTATCTTGTTACTTTCTTCCAATGGCACATATCCTTATCTGAAATTATCTTCTCTATTTACTTACAAACTGCCTGCCTGTGTTTCCCCCCTAGCAAGCATGTTCTGGAAGACAGGGCCTTTGTCTTCCAGCTGTTTCCTCAGAGCCTAGAACACCTCCTGGAACTCAGCAGGACAGTAAGCACGTGTGGGCCATGAATAAATAAGTCAACTCCTCTCTCTTTAACTGTTCAATTAAGAACTCAGTCACACACTGCAACCTGAACAGTTCTGTTTGAATGTGAGGCGTTTCCTTCCCCCACCCACTCCCTCTCATTCAGGCCATTCATATTCATAAACAGATTAGCTGTGAATTACAAACTGCTCTCTGAAAACGGAATCTTAATGGCAAGTTAGCTCCACTCACCACCATCATCACCATTTCGCGTTAAACTCGACAGAAGTCACAAGTACCACCTTCCATGAAAACTACCGGGGGCCACAAGGGCAAGAGCGGATTTGATTCCAGGACACTGCGAGATGGGTACTCTCTGGCTGACACCTCGAGGATTCCCAGGGTTAATTAAAGGCTCAGACCTGGGAAGCATCCCACATCCTTCCACGCGGACACACTAGTAGATTACTTTATATTTTACACGCATCCCCCACTCCCACCCCCAATTCACTCAATAGCCCAGCTTGCTGTTCTCCCTTTCACAGCCGGCCATGGGACACTCGAGAGCCGCTGGCTTGTCCCACAGAGATCCCACAGGCAGAAAGCCCCAAACTAAGGTATCCCAGGCTTCAAAGCTCGAACTCAGTCCACTTGCGCTCCTTATTTCCTGGGTGCCCCCAAATCCTCAGCATGCTTTTATGAGAGCTGAGGGTGCACAAAGAGAAGGGGCGCCACAAGAGCAGCACTCGGGGGGGTCTTCCCGGACCCGCCGAGCTCGCAGGCGCGGGGACCCGGCTAGGCACAGGGGCGGTTCCCGCCCGGGCGGAGGGGGGACGGCCGGAGGGGTCAGTGAGGACGTTCGGGTGAAGGGACAGTGTGAGGTGTTCAGTCAGCGCGGGGGTGGGGGGAGGGGAGGCTGGGCTTGAGGACCGAAGCGGTCCCCCGCGGGCGGGAGAACAAAGCAGCAGTGGCCGGTTCTCGCCCGAAAGGGGGGTGCCACGGAGGGGGTGGAGGTGGGGGAGGGCGCGAGCGGGGAGCGCGCGGCTCAGCCCCGAAATCGGGAGTTTGCATTTACCACGACGCCTCGCCCGCAGTCTGGCGCCTCCTCACTGCTCCCGGCCATGTTTCTCCCGGGGAAAGCGGGAAGGGAAGACGGCGCGGGAAGGATCCGGGAGGGCGAAGGGCGGCATGGGGGATGGGACCTGGGGACGCGGGGACGGGCCCGCCCCGCCCCCGGGCCTGCCGGCGGGAAGCCGAGGCCTGGCGCGGCTCCAGCGGCCCCGGCGGCGCGGCGGG